GGTGACGCGACGGGCAGGGCAGGGGCAACGCGCGGGCCCTAGGGCGACGCGACGGGCAGGGCAGGGGCGGCGCTCGGGCCCTAGGGCGACGCGACGGGCAGGGCAGGGGCGGCGCGCGTGCCCTAGGGTGACGCGACGGGCAGGGCAGGGGCGATACGCTTACCAGGAGCGGGTGCAGGGCAGGGCCACGACGGGCGGTTAGGTCAGGGCCGCAACGGGGCGGCTGTAGGGCAGGGCCGCGACGAGGCGACGGCAGAGCAGGGCCGCGACGGGGCGGCAGCAGGGCAGGGCCGCGACAAGGCGGCTGCAGGGCAGGGCCGCGACGGGTGGCGGCAGGGCAGGGCCGCGACGGGCGGCGAGGTCAGGGCCGCAACGGGGGGCGGCAGGGTAGGGCCGCGAAGGGCGGCTAGGTCAGGGCCGCGACGGGCCGTTAGGGCAGGGCCGCGACGGGCCGGTAGGGCAGGGCCGCTACGGGCGGCAGTAGGGCAGAGCGCGAGGTGCGCTTCGAGCAGGGCAGGAAAACGATCGTGGTGGGCCCTTAAAAACGTTCCTGCTAGGGAACCTGCTCTGAAACCATGTCAGAATAGTGAAGGAAGGAATGATTGATTGAGCAAGCAGATGGGTACAAGTAGGAAACCTAGAAGTGTTGTACCCTATATGAACTACCCCACTACAGCCTACACAGACTATAGCATATAACTTTGACACACCGCCGCTGCCGCTGCCGATGCCTCCACCACCTCCACTGCCGCCCCCACTCCCGCCACCACCCCCACCGCCACCGCCACCCCCTCCGCCCCCTCCACCGCCTCCACCGCCACCCCCTCCGTCCCCTCCACCACCCCTACCCCCCTTGCCCTTGCTGTTGCGGCGTCTCCCACTAGGAGCAGACGCAGCCCCGACCTCCTCAGTGCCAACGAGGTCGACAGCAGCAGCAGAAGCAACAGAGGGGAGAAGGGGGACGGGGGAGCACCCCTCAAAGAAAGGGGCGCGAGGGTCGCCGCGAGAAGCACCTACAGCAACAATACTCTTCTCAGCTGCAGTAAGGCGCTCCTCAAGCAGGTCGACGGTGAGCTCAGTGGGGCAAAGGGAGAGAAAGTGGTCCCTGACTGAAGAGAGGGAGTCAGGGAGACAGGTGACTAGGTAGTAGAGAGTGATGTACATGGGGGGGGGGTTCTTGGCACAGAACTCAGTGGGAAGCGCAGCGCGGTAGCGGTGTCACTAGTGCGGAGGTGAGTAATGAGGTCAGCAACTGTGGCAAAGGCAGCAAGGTCAGGGAACAGGTGCGGCAGCATGAGGCGGCTGAGGGCAGCAGTGGCAGGGGAGGAGTAGCGCGCGACAACAGCGTCATATAGAGACTTTGCAGTCTTGTACTGGCCAAAGTGCGCGCTCTCAGCAGACGGCAGGTGACTACGAACAGCAAGACGAGCAACAGCGTCACGAGTAGTCCACTGCGAGCGAATCGTACTGTCAGCAGTGGCAGCAGGTGCAGGAGAGACACCGGACATGTGATCGAACAGGGAGACTCCGTCCTTGGAGTCGCACTGGAGAAAGAGCTGTAGGTCGTCTACCCAAACCTCAAAGTCAACAGCACGACCCTCAGCATCAAAGGTAAGAACAGTAGGACTAGCCATAGCGGCAGAAGCAGCAGTAGCAGTAGTAGCAGCAGTAGCAGCAGTAGCAGCAGAAGCAGGGCAGTGCGGCTCAGTAGGGCGGCGCGGCTCGGTAGGGCGGCGCGGCTCGGTAGGGCGGCACGGCTCGGCTGGGCGGCGCGGCTCGGCAGGGCGGCGCGGCTCGGAGGAGCGGCGCGGCTCGGCTGGGCGGCGCGGTTGCTTACCAGGGGCGGGTGCAGGGCAGGGCCGCAGCTGGCGGTTAGGTCAGGGCCGCGACTGGGGCGGCAGCAGGGCAGGGCCGCGACTTGGCGGCGGTAGAGCAGGGCCGCGACTGGGGCGGCCGAAGGGCAGGGCCGCGACGCGTCGGCGGCAGAGCAGGGCCGCGACAGGGCGGCAGCAGGGCAGGGCCGCGGTTGGGCGGCGGTAGGGCAGGGCCGCGACGAGCAGCGGCAGGGCAGAGGCCGCGGCGGGCGGCAAGGTCGGGGCCGCGACGAGGGGCGGCAGGGTAGGGCCGCGATGGGCGGCTAGGGTAGGCCGCGACGGGCGGCAAAGCAGGGCCGCGGGCGGCGGCAAGGCAGGGCCGCGACGTAGGGCGGCAGGGCAGGGCTGCGACGTAGGGCGGCAGGAGAGGGCCGCGACGGGCGGCAAAGCAGGGCCGCGACGGGCGGTGGATTAGGTCGCGACGGGCGGCGACAAGGCAGGGCCGCGACGGGCGGCTCAGGCAGGGTCGCGACTAGCGCGACAGCAGGACAGGGCGCGCGACGGCGCAGGAGAGGTAGGCGCGACAGCGCGCTTCGGGCAGGAAGGAAAATTTCAGTGGTGGGCCCTAAAAAAAACGTTCCCACGAGGGAACCTGCTCAGAATACCATGTCAGAATGAGAACGAAGGAATTATTAAACTAGCAAGCAGTTGGGTACAAGTAGGAAACCTAGAAGTGTTGTACCCTATATGAACTACCCCACTACAGCCTACACAGACTATAGCATATAAGTTTGACAACCGGCGTGCTGTGTGTTGTGTGCACCCCGAATGATTTTCCCCGTGTATTTTATCCCTTGGGTTATGGGTGGCCCTAGTGTGTGGGGTTCCCAAGCGTGAACGCGGCAGGGGAGTGTTGACGGGAGTTGCCCCGCCCTCGCTTGGGCAAAGCTGACTTTGTGGTCGGATGTGTGGGAGGTGCAGCCGACCCTCTGCAGTATGCGAGATCTGGAGCTTCTGCGCAGGTTGGGACAAGGACCTCGTGCACAAGGTGAAGGGTTGCCTGTACACGAGGTGTACTAGGGAACCCATGCAAGAGTAACTTACGAACTCACGAGAGCAACGCAAACGTCTCGTGCACATGTGCAAGTGGCGCAGCTGGTGCAGAGGTTCGTGGGTGTTCATTTGCGCAGGGTCGCGTCTGACCCTGCGCACCCTTGCGAATGCACAAGACAATTCCGGCTAGAAATTAGAATGTGCCCTAATTTCGACCAATGAGGAGCCGGAATTTCGACCGAGGTGGTCAAGGAAGGTGGTCGACGAAGGCCGTCGACCCACGACTTACGAAGGCCGTCGACCTTTGATGACGGAGGTCATCGACCTACAGGGTCGCCGGGGACTCTACCCAGTCGACCAAGTTACCTGCTCGACGAGGTTCTGTGAAGGTGCACGAACGTCGTCGAAGCTACTGTGGCGAAGTCGACCGACGTGGCAGCACGTGGTCGACGTGGCTCGTCAGGTGCAACCGTCAGCATGTGGCTGACAACCTGTGCAATGTGCGCGACAGTGCACGTCGTGCGTAACTGTCTACAAGCACCTGCGAAGTATGTACTTGCACATGCGCCTACAATCACCTGCGGATGCAGCGTTGGCAAGTCGCGCATTCTGCAGCGTTCACAAGTCGCGCATGAGCTGCGTTGGCAGGCCGCATACTTGCTACGTTGGCAGGTCGACGACTTTGTCGCGCTGGCGGTCGACTTGCCTGAGTTCTAGCAAACCTTGCATCTGATGTAGTCATTCTTTGCCATTGCTTTTCATCCTCTATTCTCAACTTTCCTAGTGAAACTCTTGCTGTTTTGCCATGTGAACACACAAGTCCTAGAGAACACAGACAGAGCTACGATCACTCTTAGAACCAGTGCCTACCCCGCAGTCTAGCTCCCACCGTTGTAGAGTTAATCTCCGCAACGGTTTGGGTATCCCTCCCAGTGCGAGCCCTTGACGAGCCCTTTGGCAAACCCCACTTTGTGGGGGCGAGGGTTAGGCTAGACGTGGGCTAAACCATTGCCCGTGCGATAAGGACCCTGGATCTTTCCAGGAGGACGAACGCTTCTGGTAAGGGATGCGTTCGACAGGCTAACACCCTGCTTTCAGGTTCGGGGGTGTTAAGGAGGTTCGGCACCAATTTCTGGGCTGACCGGAAAAAAAAAGCCCTAAATCGAAACAGCCACGATGATTCCGCGGCGGTCGGTGTTAGCCTATCGAACTGGGCCGCTATGCGCCAACAAAACGCAGCTAATGTGTCAATTATGACGCGTCCTGACATTCAAAACGGCGCTGTTCTCCAGGCACTCGATGCCGTCGGAGGAATGTGCCTTGATGCTGCCAAAGCGTTGACATTTTAGGGGGCAGCCCAAAAAGTCGTGTCAACCCTGACGATGCCGTCCTAACCAAAACTGCATGGCATTGGCTGCAGAACGGGTCATTTGACGACGACATCAAAAGGGTAAGAAGCAACCGCACAGTTTCCCTCTCTGGCAAATTGTGGTGCCTGTGCTACCCCATGGCAAACCACCCAAAAGAGGTGAATCACCTCGACGTGGCAGCGGGAAAGGCCAATTGGGGAAACCTGAATCACACCCCGCTGGAAAGAAAAACGCCCCCAAAGGCGCCCTTGCAGTAACCCGAAATGTGCCTGCTTTCCTCCGGTTGTGTGGATGGGTGTTTTTTTCCGTTTTCCAATCGCTTTTTACCCAACCCTGGCCCAGCTGGCTTCAAACATTTGTATACAGCCCGTGACGAAACTAGTACAACAGGGGGCGGAAATCTCACTTCTAGGGCCTTCGCTTTCCTACGCCGAAATGGGCAACTTCCCTTTTGGCGGGGTGGTTCGGGCGCCAGGGGAAGTTTCTAGCGAAATGCGACAGGTGCCGCTGCCATGCCGATGCCACCTGCCTCCAGAACACCGCCAACGCATCGCAAATCACGAATTTGAGGAACCTCTACGTAAAGCTTCTTTCTACATCCGAAGGAAGCATTTAGGGTCCCGATCGCGGGCGTGAAAAAAATACAGGCCCTGGTTTCATCCATCTTGCCCTCTTGATCCAGACAACCCATCCTTGCTCGAAATAACCAGAGCACCACGCTCTCTCGTGCTGTGGCGTTCGCTTTCACCAACACCACGCCCCCATGCTGCGCCAACACAGCGCGCGCCACGCATCGCGATGGGGACGGCGGGCCTCGCTCTCGCTGCTCCTCCCCGCCCAGTCGCCGTTCCGCCTCCCCAGACTTGACAATGCGCCGACTGCGCTCACACGCCCGCCTCTTTCCCAGCCCTCCGCGTCTGGCGCGTCTTTCTCTCTTCTCGCGTTTACGTCACATCCTCACGCAATAACATCGTCGACCGGGTCTGCAACCAGGCTGTTGTCTCAGTCGTCCGCGGTATCGTTACAATCACACCCGATCCATGGCCCTGAGTCGACGTCAGCTGCCACGTCAACTGGTCCCGCCGCATCCGGAGCTAATCCCGCCGGCGCTGCAGGCGCCGTCTTGCCACCGCCACCGGGAGGCGGATCGAAGGGATTCCGAGCCGGCGGCGCCGCGGTTGCTGCGGCGGCGGTGGCAGGCGGCGCGTGGTACTTGTGGCGGCAACAGGAGGCGCAGCGAGAGACGGATCGGCTAGTGATAGACGCGACCCGGGAGAAGCATCAGCAGCTGGGGGGGACGCAGGTGGGGCAGCAGCAGGCAGCGCTAAGCCAGTCACTGTTGGCGGATGCGGAAGGGGAAGCGGAGCGGATTGTAGACAGGGCGGAAGGCGGGGCGGCGGAGAAGGGTGCGGCGCAACGCAAATTGGCGGACGGGGCGGCGGGAGAGGGCAGATCGGTCCAGGATCAGCGCGCGGAGAGGGGTGCGGAGATGCGTGGCGCGGGGGGAGGAGTCACGGGTGGGGGAGAGGAGCCGCGGAAAGAGCCGGAAAAGCGCGGAGAGGCGGAAAAAGCTCCTGCAGCGACTTCGGAGGCGCAAGGAGTTGGGGGGGATATGGTTGCTGCGAGGAAAGAGGAGGCGGCTGTATCAGGTGGCGCAAGTGAGAGGGAGGGTCCGCGGAAAGAAGCAGCGCAGGCGGAAGAGTTGAGCGGAGGCGAGGGGAATGGTGGGGACGTGATGTTGGTTGGGGGGCAGGAGGAGGGGGGAGCGGAGAGGGATGGAGGAGAGGAGGAGGGACTAAGGAGGAGCACGGGAACGACACAAGGCAGAGACCTATCTAGCGCTGGTAACGCGGGGAGAAGGGTGGGGAGGGAAGTAGAAGGGCGGTGCGGAGACGAAGACAACGGTAGGGTGGTACAAGTGGCGCATAGAAGGTCAGGATGGTGTTCACTAGCGAGGGAGGGGCTGCCCGTGATGCAGTGCACTGAACCTTCCCTTTACCACCTCCCTGCGAGGGCAAGGCAACATGCAAGTAGGAGACGTTCGAGTCGACTCTCGAAATTCACCTTGTTGTGATGCAGTGATCCTGCAGTGATCTTGCAGCGATCCTTTCCTTCACCATTCTCCCTACGAGGGCAGAGCAGCATCCAAGCAGGAGTTCTCCTCCCTTTACCACCCTCCCTCTCTGCCTCCTCCCTCACTCTCTCCTCCCAACGCGGTGCCTTTCACCCCCCCACTCCCTCCCTCGCCCTTCCTTTCAATTCCCTCTCACGCCCTCTCCCCACCTCTCCCTCTTCTCCCCTCTCTCCTTTTCCCCTTCTCCCCTCTCCCTTTTTCCCCCTCTCCGCCCCTCCCTCTCCGCCCCTCCCTCTCTCCCGTTCTCCTTCTCCTCTTCTCCCACTCCCCCCTACCCCCCGCTCCCCCCTCCCCCCCGCTCTCCCCGGACAGAGGCAGCGCGGTTGGCGGCGGTGCCAGCGCAGCTGGTGGTGGGCGTGATAGAGGAGGCGCGGCGGCGCCAGCAGGCGGCGGATGAGGCGCTGCTGGAGGAGCGCCTCAGGCTCGCGCAGGTGAGGGGGGAAGAGGGGGGAGGGCGGACGAGAGTGAGAGGGCGGATGAAGGGGAGAGGGTGGATATAGGGAGATGGTGGGGGGGAGAGGGTGGATGTGGGAGACAGCGGACGAGGGTAAGAGGAGTTATGAACGTGGGAAGGAAGGAGTGAGCGGGGATGAAAGCAGTTTCTTGGATGGTCCCTGGTACTCGCTACCATCGTGCTGATGCTGACGACAGGGAAGGCCCAGTGCGGGAGTGGATGGTCAGCTGTGCACTCTGTCTAAGAGTGCTCCTCGCCGAGGTAGTAGCACCCCTCACAGAGTGCACAGGGAGGGGGTGCTGAGTGTGCACTCTGTGTGTGCCTGTTAAGCTGGTACGGTGCACACCATGGGGGTTCTGACACCTGACAGCAACAAATCGGTCGTGTTCTGCAGCTCTTCGTACCTGTGTTGGGAAAGTCGCGTCCTGCGTCTTGCATGCTAGCGTCCAGACGCAGGACGCATTTTTCTGAGGTTCCGAGACACTAAAAAGACGCAGGGCCGGGCAGGGTAAAAAAATAGCTCGGGCAGGCAAAAAAAAACCTTCATAGGGCAGGGGGAGGAGGGGGAAAAGGACATAGCACACACACTAGCAAAATCTTTCCCCCACAATTCTTTTTTCTCATAATAAGATCCTAGTTGCTAAAGAGATTGGTTAAACCTTTAGGATTTTTTAAGGAGATTTGTGAGAACCGAGAGTGGAGGAGCACAACTGAAGGCAATGTGCTCCTAAATGCATGTGGTGGTGGGCCACATTGGTTGGAAGTTCTAGATTCAGTGCGGTTTAGTGTGTTGGGGTTGCAAATGTGGTTGGGGGGGGTTAGAAATCTGGTTGGGAGGGTTGTTTTCAGTGGTCGAATTAGGTTGGGGGGGGGGTTCAAATGTTGCGACATTGACATTCGCGTCGAAATCGCGAATGTCAATTTCGCGTCCGAATTTTTTCGGTCAGCCCAAAAAAAATATGCCAAGCGTCCTGCGTCTCGGCCTGCGTCCTGCGTCCGGACGCTGAGCGTCTTTCCCAACATAGCTTCGTACTATTCCTCCCCTCAACCCCTCCACCCTTCCTCTGTCTCCTTGGGCCCCTTTTCCATCTCTCTCCCTCCCCTTCCCCCTTCCCCCTCCCCGTCCCGCTCCCGTCCCCCCTCCCCTTCCCCTTCCCCTCCCAATCCCTCTCCCCTCCCCTCCCCCCTCCCGATTTCTCTTCCCCTCCCCCTTCCCCATCCCTTTCCCTTCCTGTCCCGCCTCCTTATCCCATTCCCTTCCCCTTCCTCTCCCCCTTCCCTCCCCCCTCCCCCTTCCCTTATCCATCCCCGTCCCCCTCCCCTCCCCTCTCCACTCCTTCCATCCCCCATCACCCGCTTCCATCCCTCTCCACGCCCTCCCTCCCCCGCCCTCACTTCCCCATCCCCCCTTCTCCGCAGGGGGAGCACGAACGCGCAGTGCTGGAGCTGCAGCAGCGCATACAGGGCACAGAGGCGCGCGTGGAGGTGCTGAGGGCAGCGCGGGAGAGGGAGAGGAAGCAGCTGCAGGCGGAGGCAGAGTGCGTCAAGCAGGACTTGAGTGCCCGCCACGAGAGGGCCATGCAGGACAAGGTGTGTGAGAGGACGGTGTGGGGTAGGAGTGGGGTGGGCTTGACTGTCAGGCATGAGAGGGCCATGGAGGAGAAGGTTTGTGCAGGGAGGGGGGCAGGTGGTGGGGCAGGTCGTGGGACAGGTGAGAGGGTGGAGGGGGGGATGGGAGGATGGAGGAGAGGAGGGCCGGAGGTGAGTGGGCTGGGCAGGATGTGGAGGTGGAGGTGAGGTGCGATTGCAGTGGAGGGCTTGTGGTTTGGAAGGAAGCAGGAGCAGGGAGAAGACGGATGGAGGTACGGGAGGTAGGTGACAAGTTGTCACCGGGCCGCATGAGCTCATTGAAGGGAGTTGTTGCTGACACATGGAAAGTTGCCATCCCGTGACATGCCATGCCATGCCATGCCATGCCGTGCCTGCCATGCCGTGCCATGCCGTGCCATGCCATGCCGTGCCATACCGTGCCATGCCATGCCATGCCATGCCATGCCGTGCCATCCATGCCATGCCATGCCATGCCATGCCGTGCTGTGCTATGCTATGACATGCCGTGCCATGCGTGCCTTGCCATGTAATGCGATGTGATGATTGTGATGTCATCCCATCTCATCCCATCCTCATCCCATCCTCTTCGCATTCCACCACATTCCACCCAACCAAACTCCCACCTCACTCCACCGCACCCCATCTCATCACATCCCCTGCTCTCGCCCCACCAGGAGGAAGAAGGAGCAGCGATGGCAGCAGAGGCGGGGGTGGTGGCGGAGGCGAGAGCAGTGGCAGGCATGGCTGCTGCAGAGGCGCAGCACACACACGAGGTGGAGCGACTCAAGCTGCAGGTGAGGGTACAGCTGGGGGGTAGGGGGAGGGCGAGTGGACAGGAGGGAGGGAGCGGGGATGGAGGTGGGAAGGGAAGGGTGTGCGGAGGCAGATTTGGGTTTCTTTTGCTTGTGCGCTTGACTGGAGTTGTACACGTGTGCATGCGTAATGCGCACGCACACGCACACATGCACTCGCGCGCGCGCACACGCACACATGCACTCGCGCGCGCGCACACACACACAGGCACGCGTGCGCGCGCACATACACATGCATGCACGCATGTGCACACACATGCACCGCCACCCATCCATCCACGCATATCTCTATTCCCTGCCGTCGGCCCCTCAGCTGGCAGCTCTGCACGAGGCCTTTCGCACGCGGTCAGAGGAGGAGAGGAAGCGACACGCCGGGCACTCCCTTGCCATGGTATGGCCATGCCCACTTGCTTGGTAGGCACTGCTCGTCCTCATGTGCTCAATCCTGTTTGTCACCTTATCTCCTCCTACTCTTAACAGCCTTCGTTGATACCCTCACTCCCTCCCTCACTCATATCCTCCCCCCCAACCCAACTCGCCTTCCACTCCGTCCATCTGCTTCCACTCATACCCATCTTCCTCAGTTCCTTCTCCACGAGTTTGCTATAGTGCTCCTATCATCCCCTCGCTGTCTCCCTGCATTGTATCACCTCTTATCTTCCATCCACTTCCTTTTGCATCCCCGCTTCATTCCCTCCCCTTACCTTTCTCCTCCTCCCCTTCCCCCCCACCCCGCTCTCCCCTCCCCCTAACTCATCTCCCGAATCAGCTGTGCTTTGCTCTAGAAGACGCTGCTTTGAACGGCACCCCTCTCGCCGTGCCGCCCACATGCCTCCAACCCGCCTCCCTCCCCCTCTCACACTCCACCCAACAAGCCACTGATGCACCCACAACAAGTGATAGCTTCACCAGCACCAGCAGCAGCGCAGATGAACACGCACACGCAGGAGTGGTGGCAGCAGAGGCACCAGCAGCAGATGCTCTCGTGGATGCTGTGTTGGCCTCGCTGCCGCCCCCTGCTGCTGACCACGGCGTGCCCACGCCAGCTCAGCTGCGGCAGCAGCTGACTGCGTTGCGACTGTCGCTGAGTCAGCTGGGGCTCATGCCACCTCAGGGCGCGGGGGTGGTGGCTCATGCCTTGGCGTTTCTGGCAGCGATGATCAAGGTGGGGAGGAGAGGCGGGAGGAGGGTGAAAATGGCAAGATTGAGCTGGTTGGAATTCTAGCAAGCAACTTGCAATGTGTACCCCATTCCAACCATGCTGCATCCACGTCTGTGCTTCCTTCTCTGTCTTGTTTCTCCTGCACTCTGGCCTCTTCATTCTCCTCTTCCTTTCATTCTCCTCTTCCTTTCATTCTCCTCTTCCTTTCATTCTCCTCTTCCTTGCAAATTTCCTGCCTCTCATTATCTCCTCTCATAAGCTTCTCTCCTCTTCTCCCTCCCCACCCTCCCACACCCCTTATCACCCCAACCCAGCTGCCTGAAACGGGCACAGAGCTGCCGGGAGGAGGGGTGGAGGCAGCAGTGGCTCGGGCCGAAGCTCTGATGCAGGCTGGGCAGCTGCAGGCAGCGGCAGAGGCATTGGAGGGGGCGCTTGCAGGGACTAAGGCGGAGGAGTTGGGTGGGGAGTGGGCGCAGAAGGCCAGGGATAGAGCGGTGCTGGAGCAAGCCGTTGCTGTGATGCGTGCTCATGCTGCCACTGTGGCTCTCTCGCTTTCCTGATTATGTTTGTGAGGTTTGGCATTGCCATACGGTATGTACTGTACCACCATCGATCCATATGGGTGTCTGGTGGTGGTGTTTGTTCCGGTTGATGGTGGTTGGATGAGGTTTTGAAGGGTGTTGTTGAACATGGGGGTTGCAAGTCTGGAACTGGTACACTTTGCTTGAGCTTTATTTGAAATGAGTTACCAAACACGTGAAAACATACTGTATTGGTGACTGCACGAGTAAATTTGCCCCGTTTTCTTTACCATTCGCGTATTCTCCCCGCACATTCAGGGCAACGCTAGTCCCAGCGTCGTAACCTGCGACTCGCAAATCCAGGGGAGGTTTCAGGTGGCCACGTCATTCACTGCGAATCGAAACCCAAATGCTCGTGTAATGCGGTTGATTGGCGGCTATCTAACCCAGAGTCGCACAGACGCCAGCGCGTGTCCAAACCTCTATTTCCAGCGCATGCCTGAGCTAATGCCCAACGCATTCAACTCACCTCTCCCATTTCCCATGGCCGTCATTCGCGCTGCGGCGCCAGGCAGGCATCACTCCATGCCCTGCGCTGCGATGCGGTGGAATGAACCCAATCACCGCAAATGTCGCCTGTCAAAATTGAGCATTGCTCTGTTCAAGGAAGGTAAGAATTCACAGCTGCGCACTGTGAGTTTCTTGGAGCCTACTACTAGTACGGCAAGATCTTGCACGTTCTTTTATTTTAAACGCAATATATTCCCTCGCAGAGATCAATGACCAAGTGTTAAGCATTTCCGCTCACGAGAGTTTTTGGCCTGCTACTATCTTTAGTCTAATTACTCGTCGTCAGTCTCAGAATGGCTCGTCACACGGAACCAATCACAGCACGGCAGCAAATCACTTCCTTCCTCGTCGCACCGCTAGTCATTTGGATAATCTGCGGTCCCGCGATGATCGCAGCGTCTGAACTGGAAGATGCCATAAAAATGGCGAACCAGGTAGGGGCGATTACACCACATAGATAATCTTTCGTTGGTTGTTTCACAATATCACAACGACAGCATCTCCTTCTATTCATCATGTAGGTGCTTTACCACGCCTTATCGCCAAGCGTGAGTTCATGTTGGTGTTCTATTCGTCGGCCGTGCCGCGGCGTTCGAACGTGGTTCCGGCGTAGCACGAAGCTCGTCAGCGGGTCTTCTATCACCACGAAGCATGACGTTCGGGACGACTCGGATTTCTATCGTGTGTTCGCAAAAAGGAAAAAAAAAAAAAAAAAAAAAAACTTTTTTATTATTATTATTATACGTTCGTGGGCTTTGTCCCAGTGGGAGGTCAAGGCGACGCGAAAATCAGAATACCCGCTGTAGTTAAAGTGTAATCGGAATCAGTCGGCTGTTGGACGGGGCCAGAGGAAGGATTGTGTTGTGGACGGCGCCGACATTCGCAGTGCCTATATTCCTAATGAACGTCGTCCACTGGATGTTTGCGTTTGTGTTCACGTGGCGTGAATACAGGGGGGAGGTACTACGGAGCTCGTTCTCAAATCCAACGTGCACCTCAAAGCGTGAGTTCCCCATCAATCATTGATCCACCGTCTGCACTTGATGTCTCATCTCGCGACGAGTGGGTTTGCCACCTCATGGCGCGCGCGTCATGCCGGAAGTTGGCTACTGACGCATCCACCACTCCTCGTCTCATTAGTCATGCGCTATCGTCCATGTGCATTACTAGCCCATGATTTCGATCCCCTCTCGCTCGCCTCTATTTTTACCTACTTCCCTCCACACCGCTTCCCCCCCGCCACCCCTTCTCTCCCCCTTTCCCCTTTTTTCCCCCTTTCCCCCCCCCCAGCCCCCTCCCCGCACTCGAAGGAACGGCCAAGCTGACCATCACGGGCGCATGTGCCGTCGGCAGGTTGGTAACAGGGTTACCGGTGGGTGGCAGCCAAGCTAACAACCGTTTCAGGCTAAGCCACACTTGCAACGACATTTGAGGCGTCTCAGAAGCCACACTTTCGACGCTCCTTTGCTTGCATCGCTGTTAATGCTCGCCTCGTCATCATCTCCCTGCACTATTATCGACCACTCTGCACCATCGACCACTCTGCACCATCGACCACTCTGCACTGCCATCGAGGATCGTCATCTCTAGCAATCTGGTCACCACTAGTAGTTGCCATTGCCATCGCCATCGCCATCGCCATCGCCATCGCCATCGCCGTCGCCATCGCCATCGCCATCGCCATCGTCTTCATCCATCTCCTCTCTCCTGCTCTCCCCGACCCGCTTCGTTCCGTCGTTCTTAATTCGCACACCTTTCCCCTCGCTCCTCCCCACACCAGGTGTATCATCAGCGGAGGTAACGCCTTCCCCATATTCACCTCCCCGTCGTCCGGCCCCACTGGGGTAATATTGAACGTGCACAACCTCAACTTCCAGCGGGCGGCAGGGGGCGTCTTTCTCAACGTGCGGACGAGGGTCAACGCGAGTAAATGCGGATTCGTCAGCAACAAGGGTCTTGGCAGTGGCGGAGGGGTGCTCAGGTATGGAAGCGGAGTGTTGGGGGGAGAGTTTTTAGGTGAGAGTCATGGGGGGGAAAGGAGGGAGCAAGAGGGGTGCTCAGGTGAGAGTGTGTGTGTGGCGCAGGTGAGAGTGTTTGGCGCATATGAGAGTGTGTGAGGGTGTTGGCGCATGTGTTAGTGTTTGGCGCATGTGTAAGTGTTTGGCGCATGTGTGAGTATTTGGCGCATGTGTGAGTGTTTGGCGCATGTGAGAGTGCATGTGGTGCAGGTGGGAGTGCATGTGACAGGTGATGGAGTGCGTGTGACAGGAGAGGGAGTGCATGCTGCACGCGAGAGTGTGTATGGCGCAGGGGAGCATTCTACATTGATGAATACCATGCTCAAGTGTTCTTTCAGTCAAATCTCAACTTTTCCTCTCTTCTCATGCTGCACCTCATACGACAACTTGATAGCAAACCCTGATTGATGCCCGCGCTACTCCCTAACGCACCCTTCATTGCCCACCACTCCCCCCCAACTCACCAGCGACTCCTTCGCTGAGACAAACAGTGTTTCCTACCGCCGCTTCTCCTACTGTTCCTTCTACAACAACACGGCGCCCATCGGGGGGGGTGGTGCCATCAGCATCAACGCGGGGAACCCTGAAGGCAAGGGGCCTGCCATGATGCTTGAGCACTGCTACTTCAGGAACAACAGCGCGCCCAAGGGCCGTGGAGGGGCGATTTCGGTGGAGGGGACTGGCAAAATTGTGTTCAAGTCATGCAGATTTGATAAGAACAGCGCTGGTGAGTGTGTGTGAGGTTGCATGCGTGTGCATGTTTCTTTACACCGTTTAGTCTTCTCAAAAGTCATTCGAGAGGGGGTGAAATCCCACACTTATGAGCATAGCGTTTTCTGTGAGTAAAATCCTGCAGGTCTAGCATCTAGCTCTAGCATCCACAATCCAACACCAAGACACATCAGAGGGAGGCTGCTTCTCGGAAAGGCCTCTTCGCAAACAGCACTCCCTCTCTCCAGTCACCTCCCCTCCCTCCATCCTTGGCACCTCCCTTGCAGTTCCTTCTCCTCGGTCCATGATGGGGCTGTTGTTGCTGCCGCGGCAAACAATGGTCTCGTTGCTTTTGTTGCCCACTCCCTCTACCTTTCTGGGCCTTGCACACCCTCTTTTCCACATTGGCCCTTTCATCCTTCCACTAAACCACCGCCCTTGCTTCCATACAACCCTCCCCGCCATCCATCCAGGTGTGGCTGGGGGAGCCATCTACTCGAACGGCACCTCTCTCTCTCTCGCCCATGTCACCTTCAGGAACAACACGGCTATTGGCATTCCCCCTGCCACCACCTGCGGTGTTGGCGGCGCTGTTTACGCGGTCTCAGGGCGATACAGCGGGGCGTCTGTCCGCTTCTGCGCATCTTCCTTTTGGGACAACACGGGCTGTGCTGCGGCTGCCAACACGCTGTTCCTGCAGACAGTTCCAGGCGGCTCAAACATTCCAACGACAGTGATGTTTTGTAATGGGACCATCAAGCCGGATAGGTTGCTCATCCCTACCAGTGGGTGGTGGGAGACGAGCGGTTGCATTCCCAGGTGAGGGAGAAGGCTGGTTGGGTAAATGGGGCGGTGTGGGTGAGTTGGAGGGGGAGTGCTGTGGAACAGTGGGAGCATTGGGGGCAGGCGAGCTGGGATAATGGTGAGTGGGTGGCGGATGGGAAGCCGATGCACTGGCAGGTGATGTAGTGTGGGTGGGCGAGGGAGAGGAGAGCATTGGGAGAAGAATGGACAGAGAATCTGGAGCAAATACACGGCAAGGTGAGAGCGTGTATGTGCGTGAGGTTGTGAGGAAGAGAGGGGAAGGAGCGGGTGGGGGAGTACAAGACCTTGAGTATGGAAAAAGCACTGTCAGCAGCAGGGGCTGCAGCAGAGGCAGCAGCGTGGCTGTTTTCTTGCTGCCTGCACTCCACTTTTTTCCTGTGCTCCCTTCCGCTTTCCCCTCTAGTGGTTCTTGCTCTTTCTTTTCTCCTCTCGTCCTTCCTCCCCGCCCCCCCTGCTTTCTCTTCTCTTCCTACCTCCCCACCCCACTGCTTTCTCCTTTCTTTGCCCCTCCCCAACCACTTCTTCCTACTCTCTTCCTCCCGCCCCATACTCCCTCCTTCTCCCTCCCCACGTTCCCTGTTTCTCCCTCCATGCTCACCTGCACTTGATGCCTGAATGTCAAACCATTAGGCACCAGAATACCAACATGACTCTCCCTTCTCCTCTCTATCTCCCCCTTCTCCTTCGTCCAAGCAGCACCTGTACTTGAGCCCTGCCTTTCATGCTTTGCCAGAGTCACCTTCTGCCCCTCCGTTACCATTCGCACCATCGCATCCGATCCACACACCTCGGCTGGTAACAACCACGTACTGGTAGTTCAGCTGGTAGCTTGACGCCGATCCTGGTCCTCGGTTCTTTCCAAACCTCAACGCCATTACCAACATTTGCTGTTGCCATCGTTGATTGCTTTACGTTCTCCTATAGTGGAATCTGCACTCGCTCGCTCGATAGCACTTGTAATGACTTGTAAGATATGTACAAAAGGATTTCCTATGTACCGTAAAGTGCCGGCTATAGGACCTGGGGGACTCTCTACAAATGCATCAAAAAATGCTTGGGTAGACAGTAATTTTTAAGACCCGGGGTACACTTATTTATCAACTATCAATCTGGTATTTAGGGTGTACGGCTCAATTTGGGGCGGGGGGGTCTTATATTCGTAACGCCCTTCGTGTGCAAATTTCGCGCGAGCGGCGCGTCAGATATGGCTCGGAATTCGAGTCTGACACAAATAAAGTGTCAGAATTAGTCTGACACAAAAAGCGTGTCAGAATTCACAATTTACCGGCGGGTACTATAGCTGGCACTTTACGGTTATATGTTTTCCTTTCCCTTACTGAGTTTATGCAACACGACGTACAAAACCAAACTTTGGAATAATGGGCTATGTTAATTCATATTCTCTATATTGTAAACTGCCTGTAGCAATAGTCAGTGCAGTGAGTTGGGAGAGAAGAGAGGATTCTATCAAAATACAGTTGTATGTCTGTAGGCTGTAGTGGGGTAGCCCATATAGGGTACAACCCATTTAGGGTTGGTACTTGTATGTTGCATCCTGCTCAATACATTCATTCCTGTTCACGTATTCTAACATGGTATTAGAGCAGGCTCGTTCCTAGGGCCCACCGAACGTTTCGCCCTGCCCTGCCCGTAAAAGTTCTTCTGCCCTCTGCCCAGCGCTCGCGCGCCGCCCTGCCCTTAGGCCCGCGCGCCGCACTGCCCTGCCCTTAGGCCCGCGCGTCGCCCTGCCCGTAGGCCCGCGCGCCGCCCTGCCCTGCAGCCCGCAACCGCGCTGCCCTGCCCTTAGGCCCGCGCGCCGCCCTGCCCTTAGGCCCGCGCGCCGCCCTGCCCTTAGGCCCGCGCGTCGCCCTCCCCGTAGGCCCGCGCGCCGCCCTGCCCTGCAGCCCGCGAGCCGCGCTGCCCCGCCCTTAGGCCCGCGCGTCGCCCTGCCCTTAGGCTTTGCGCGTCGCCCTGCCCTGAGGCCTGCGCGCTGCCCTGCCCTGCAGCCCGCAACCGTTCTGCCCTGCCCTTAGGCCCGCGCGCCGCCCTGCCCTGCAGCCCGCGCGCTGCGCTGTCCTGCCCTTAGGCCCGCGCGCCGCCCTGCCCTTAGGCCCGCGCGCCGCCCTGCCCTTAGGCCCGCGCGCTGCCCTGCCCTGCAGCCCGCGCGCTGCGCTGCCCTGCCCTTAGGCCCGCGCGCCGCCCTGCCCTTAGGCCCGCGCGCCGCCCTGCCCTTAGGCCCGCCCGCCGCCCTGCCCTTAGGCCCGCACGCCACCCTGCACTTAGAGCCGCGCTTCCCTGCGCCGTGCGCTGCCCGCGCGCGACTGCCCTAGCCCTGCCCCACGAGCGATCTGCACTAGAGCATCCAGTTACTCGCGCACTTCCCTATCTGCTCCTGCACTGCTGCTACTGTCTGCCACTGACTGCCATGGCCACTACTACTGTCCTACGTCAGTCGCAGCCGAGTGTGCAGGAGTCTCTCTCGCCGCAGCAGCTTCGCGAGTGGGCTATCTGGTGGGGCAGCCCTGGTGGCGGAGCTAGCCGTGTTTGTCGGCGGAAGCCGCTTTTGCCACAGCAGCGTCGTGAGTGGGCTGTCCGGTGGGGCAGCCCCGGTGGCGGAGCCTGGGGTGCTACTACTGGAGGTCCCTCTGAGTCTACTCCTGCTGGTAGTGCCGCTGGTAGTCACGGAGGTTCTGGGGGTGGACAGCAGCAGCAGCAGCGTCTGCCGGAGACTCTCTCCCCGCAGCAGCTTCGTGAGTGGGCTGTCCGGTGGGGCAGCCCCGGTGGCGGAGGGTCTCGGAGTACTCGTACTGGAGCTGTAGAGGCTGCTAGTCTTGGTGCTTTTGACTCAGCTAGCGCAGGTGCAGAGCCTGAGGAGGCCTTGCACACTTTTACTCTTGACTCAGGCGCGTCTCGTTGCTTCTTCCGCGACAGCACCACAGTCACACCACTCACAGTCCCTGTCCCTGTCACACTGGCCGACCCCTACGGGGGCCCGGTAGTCGCGCGTAGCGCTACTGTTCTCCCTTGTCCGGCGGCCCCCTCCGGCCTCCTCACAGGTCTCCACCTCCCCTTGTTCGCTAAGAACTTGGTGGCTACCTCTGTCCTCCAGGACCAGTGGGTCACTGTCACCCAGCCTGGAGGCGAGCTAGTGGCGATCTGTACGGACTCGCGCACTGGTGAGCACCACGCCACGTTCACTCGGAGGCCTGGGTCTGGCCTGTACACACTGACCACTGAGTCTGCACTGGTAGCTGAGTCAGGTCAGGTAGCTGCGTCGGTTGAGGTCGCTGCGTCTTGCTCGTGTTGTCTCCTCACGCACCAGACTCTCCTCTGGCACCACCGTCTTGGCCACCCCTCCTTGCCACGCCTTTGTGGCATGCACTCCCGTCTCCTTCTCTCTGGGCTTCCCAGGTCCATGCCCCCGCTCCCGAGGTTGCTTGCGCCGCCGTGCCTTCCCTGCGTCGAGGGGCGGCAGCGCGCCGCTCCTCACTCCTCCTCGTTTCCTTCGACCAAAGCTCCTCTACAGACCCTCTACATGGACGTGTGGGGTCCAGCCCGAGTCCCTGGACAGGGCGGAGAGCGCTACTTCTTGCTGGTTGTAGACGAATACACGCGCCACACCACGGTCTTCCCCTTGCAGAGCAAGGCGGAGGTCCGCAGTGTCCTGATCCGCTGGATCCGTGCTGTCCGTCGCCAGCTCAGTGCTCGGTTTCAGCAGGACCTCCCGGTCCTGCGACTGCACTCTGACCGAGGTGGTGAGTTTTCCTCCGGCCTCCTCCAGGACTTCTGTGGTGCTGAGGGCATCCGCCAGACGTTCACGCTTCCGGCCTCTCCACAGCAGAATGGGATTGCAGAGCGCCGCATTGGCTTGGTGATGGAGGTTGCTCGCACCTCCATCGTCCATGCGGCTGCTCCCCATTTTCTGTGGCCGTTTGCGGTCCGATACGCTGCTGAGCAACTCAACCTCTGGCCCCGTGTCTCCCACCCGGAGACCTCTCCCACTCTGCGGTGGACGGGCGAGGTTGGTGATGCGTCCCCGTTTCGGGTCTGGGGTGCCCTTTCGCTTGTTCGCGACCCCCCCGCGGGGAAGCTCTCTCCCCACACTCTTCGCTGCGTCTTCCTTGGTTTCCCTACCGACGCCCCGGGCTGGCAGTTTTACCACCCGGGTTCTCGTCGTGTTCTCTCCTCCCAGGACGTCACCTTTGACGAGTCCGTCTGCTTCTACCGTCTCCACCCCCACCGCAGTTCCCCCGTGCCCCTCCCGCCTCTCGCGCTGGTCTCCGACCCCCCCTGGTAGCTCCACTCCCCCTGCAGGGTCCTGCTCCCTCAGGTGTGTCTCAGGTTGACCCGTCCCCCTTGGTTGAGCCAGTAGAGGTCTCCTCTGACACCTCTGGCCCAGCTGAGGGGGGTGACCCGACTCCTGCTGCCACCGTGACCCCTCGCCGCTCTGCGCGCTTGGCGGTCCCTCCTGGGTTTCCGCCTCGACCGTCTTCACCGCCGTTGCAGCCTGTCGTTGTGGACTCTGGTGCTGCAGGAGGTGGTACCACTGGGGGTGCTTGTTCTGGGGGTGCTGGTTCTGGGGGTGCTGAGTGTCCTCTGGGTATAGGAGGTACTGGAGGTGCTGGTGCTGGTGGTCCTGGTACGAGTCGGCAGGAGGCTCTCTCGCCTGAGCGGCTTCGCGAGTGGGCTGTCCAGTGGGGCAGCCCTGGTGGTGGAGCTAGCCGTCTTCGGGCGGGAGGTGATGGGACTGCTGGAGCTGGAGGTGCTGGGACTGCTGGAGCTGGAGGTTCTACTACTGGTGGTACTGGGGTTGCTAGTGCTGGTGGCACTCGTGCACGTCGGCAGGAGACTCTCTCGCCGGAGCGGCTTCGCGAGTGGGCTGTACAGTGGGGCAGCCCTGGTGGTGGAGCTAGCCGTGCTCGTCTTGCTAGAGGTTGTGGCGCTGGACGTGCTGGAGCTGCAGGTTCTGGAGGTGCTGGCCCTGGAGGTGCTAGTGCTGGTGTTCCTGGAGTTGACCGTGCTGGAGGTACTGGTTCTGGAGGCATAGGTGCTGCTGGAGGTACTGGAGATGCTGGCCCTGGAGGTGCTAGTACTGGTGTTCCTGGAGTTGGCCGTGCTGGAGGTACTGGTACTGGAGGCACAGG